CTGGCTGCTTTGTCCCACTAGGACATCCTTGCCCCTCCTGTTAGGACTTCTCAGCTCATGGGAGAAATATAAAGGCTATCTGGTGTTTCTGCCTTCTCATCATCTTCATTTCCTTTGTGGGAACTTCCCTTCTCTTTTCCACGTGTTTCCAGTAGGGTGCCGATCATGGTGTGCTGTCCCCAGAGCACGCAGGAGTACATGACCTAGGGTGGGCCAAACAGTGCCACATCCCCCCTTGCATCTGAGCATGCTCCAGGGGGGGCTGCCAAAGTTGAAGCTACCTCTGTCCTTTGATTGCATTGAAATGGAAATTGCAGGTCACCAAGAGACAGACTAATCAGAGTACTTCACTCTTCCCAATCTCCTGTCATCACAATGTGAGATTTTGCTTGTACTGTTCCTGTTCCCTGTACGTACGAATGTGGATTCTTCAGTTGCTCTGATGGGCACAGAGTCCTGGAGCTGGTGCAGTTCACTCAGTGACAGGGTCAGATGAAAAAGGACCTGCACATATGACCAGAAAACCACTTTAAAAGGTCGAAATGTTATGACCTTTTTATTGTCTTGAGGCAGAAACAAGGCCTGTCTGTTATCTTCATTTATATTATTTAGGACATCAATGGGTGCTTTTCATTGATTTTCATGGAAACAGACATCTAAAAAGTGAGGAAGCATAATTCTCTAAGGGAAGTTGAGAGGAGGTCCTTTAGATACAGAAGGACTTCCCATTTTTTTTTCTTTTTAAAAATAGCGTTGTTGATGTACAATTTCCATGCCATAAAATTCACTTATTCTGAATGCAGATTCAATGATTTCTAGTAATTTACAGAATCATGCAACTATCACCACAACATGGTTTTAGGACATGTCCATTACCGCCCTCACCTCAGATCTCTTGCACTTATCTATCTGCATTCATCCCCTATTCTCACCGCCCTCCCCAGGCAACCACTCATCTCTCATCCCTCACCTGTCTCTCTAGGTTTGCCCTTTCCGGACGTCTCATATAAATGGAGTCATAAAACACATGGTTCCTTCTGTCTGGCTTCTTTCACTTAGTAAAATGTTTCTGAGGTGATCCATGTTGTAAGTTTGTTGAAACCCAGCTTGTGGGCCCCCCCAACCCCCAGAGTTTCTGATTCAGTAAGTGTGAGGTGGGGCCTGAGATTCTGCATTTCGAGCAAGATCCCAGCTGACGCTGACGGTGCTGGTTCAAGGCCCTTGATGGCAGAACCGCGGGCCTACGGTGTGCCCAGAGCCAGGGCTGAGTAAGACGAACCCCTGTCTTGAAGTGGCTCGTGGCTTCTCTGATCTCTGGGGGGAGATGACACATCAGATCCAAAGCTCTTTCCTTGTCATAAATCCTAGGAAGGCCGACTTCATATTGCTGCCCCTTGAAACCAAATCAATGCTATATGCTCATGCCCACCCTGGTGTCTTATTTAATTTCTGCAGTTAAATCCCATCTCTGTTTCTCCTAGCCACGGCTGAGAGAGGGAACAGGTGGCCACCAGCTCCCTGCTAATAACTCCTCATATGTTTACAGCCCATTATTAAATTGCTCTCAGATTCTCCTTCTTGGAGGCTAAATAATTAGCTACCCTCTTCTGAATCATGGGGTGGAGAGGGTTTGGCTGACTAGAGCTACCAGCCTTGGTCAGGAGCATGTGTGGCAGAAATTCTTGAGCCAGTGAGGGGGCTGGAGGTAAGATGGGTGGGGGGTTTCTAAGGCTAGACCTTCAGACTTCTTCATCTAAGCAAGATCCTTAGAAGTGATACCAGCAGACAGCGTGCAAGATAAGGAGATGTCTGGTGGGACGCAGGGATCAGCTGGAGGTCAAGCATCACCAGTAAGTCAAGCATCTTCAGGGATTAAGGGCACCAGCAGTTCGACCCCACCTCCATGAGTCTCCCACTTGACCCTTTCTCGCCAGTGAAACAGCACTCATGGGGCAGCCTGGCTGGTGCTGATCATCAGAAAGATGATGCTCTAGCATGCCCAGGTCAAGGTCAAACTTCGGACCACCTGCACCAGCATCTCCTAGGAAGCTTGCTAGGAAATGCAGACTCCCCAGACTCCACTCCTAAACCTACTGCACCAGACTCTCTGGTGAGGAGTCTGAGAATGGGAACATTAACAAGACAGCCCCCGCCCCACTCTCCCACGCAGTCAGGTTGGAGAATGACTGTCCTAGTGTGCGATACGGTGCTCTCCCTTCTTTTTCTTGGCACCATGAACAGAAAAGGAAAATGGTTCAGGGTAAACAAAGCATCTGGTACAGCTACTACTAATAATAGCGTCTTGTCTCTGTGGTGCGTATATATTTTGAAAATAAAAAGCAGTCATAGCTAGCATTTCTTGAGGACCTCCTCGGCGGCAGGCACTGCGCTAAGGGATGAATGGAGATTGGCACGTTGAATCCTCCCCGCCATGAAATAGTGGCTATTTGCATCCCATTCATGGAGGACGGAGCTGTGGCGCAAGGAGAGATAGGTCTGAAGTCACACAGCCGCTAAGTGGCAGGCGGCATGACTCAGACCCAGGCTTGGCTGACCCCAGAGGTCAGGATTTTAACCCCCATGTTATCCCCTCCTCCTCTCTGATACACTCTTCCCTCCCAACTGTAAAATACGAGAAGAGGCTCTGTGGCCACAGATTAAATGTATGCTATGGGGAAAAGAAGCCACTAGTCTTGAACCATGCACTAGTATCTCACACGCATTTTTCTCATTTGCCTCATCTCACACCTTCCCTGGGAGGGAAGCATTATACCCATTCTGCAGGGGAGGAAAACTGAGGCTCCCAGGGATGAAATGGCTTTGCCTGAGGCCACACAGCTCTCATGTAGGTGAGGCTGGACTGGAAGCCATCAAACCACACTGCCTCTGGTGAGGATGGAGATGAAAGGGGATCCGACTCTTACGCAGGGTTACTCAAAGAGCTATTTTGTAAAGTCAGCCCTGGGGCCACCCTTTCTATTTCCATACCAGCTATTTAACTAGCCTGGAGACTTCTAACTTCCCCGGTGTTCAGAAACACTGCCCAGGATTATGGGCACAGCTAAAACAGGAGCTGAATGGAATGTTCTAGAAGCTGTATAATTGAAACTGACTTAGGAGACAAGGGCCATCAGCCTGTGTGGCAAAATTAGAAAGTCACCTCAGCAGAATGTGTGTTGCCCACATGGATGCCAGCCACCGCTTTCGCAATTCTGGGGCTTTTCAGTTATAATGGGTATCCTGAGGTCTGTGGTTTGCATTGCCACCTGTATCCACCTTCTTAAGGATCCCAAAGAGAAAACCATTATGACGTGCCTGTGTCTGCCATCCAGGGCTGGGTCTCTCAGGGGAGTAGGTGAGAGGCCATGTTTCTTTTGGACACTGTAGACTGAGATGAGCCCAGGAGTGCCACCAGGAGGTGACGGAAGCCTCGTCTCCTGATCTACTCTGAGTGTCTTTTTGTGTTAGGAGGGGCTGAACCTGGAACCATCTAACCTGCCCTCTGGGCATCTCTGCCTGGATGTTCCACTGCCGTATCATCGTGGGCGTTTTTGTCTCCTGAAATCTCTTAGGGAACCACTCCGCCCCCTCTCGGGGCTCCTGATACACACACACACACGTCCGATCACCCGGTCCAGGCTGACCCAAGCACAGCGCTGGATCCTCTGGACACAGTGCCTGCTCTAGACGTAGGCACTTGACCCAAGCAGGACCAGTTAGAGATTTCCCTAAGATTTCACACAAAGTCTCTCTTCCTCTTGGAGCATCAACCATTCAAACATAAGCTCAAGGCACTAGTGGCCATTTTTCTGCCACATGAAGCAAACCTACTCCGGGGGGAAAAATCCATTGTCGAGAGAGGGTGTGAAGAGGTGAAACATGGAAAGCGGGTAAGTCCTTACGAATCCATTGCATCCCTAAATCCACGCCTTTGGAGTTCCAAGTTAATGAAGCCAGCGGCTCTTTTTCGCTCAAGCTGGATTGAACAGGGTTCTTTCAGGAGCCCTAGACAATACATATCTGAGATTCAACATATCCAAACACGAAGCCTCACCTCCTCCCCCAGCAAACCTGCCCTCC